AACAAATGACCAAAAAGTCACAGAGGCTTTGCAACCACTCTTAACTCCAAAAATACCAAAGAGTTCACAGAGGTTAAAAGCAAAAAGCTTTCTTTATTCCACTGGGGGAGAGAAATTAGATACATGTGTTGGGGCCTCTTCTGGTAGTGATGGGATGCTTGGGTGCTTGTGCTTGGACTCCCAATCCTAAAATCATCTCCCCAGCCCAAAAGACACTATCTCTGACAACTCCTCATGAGTGGGCCCCAGGGAAACATGCTATCTCTCTTCCCCCTGGTATAGTAACAAGCAGATCCTATAAGAATTCCCCTTGCATAAACAAGATTATCTTGTATTGGCTCCTAAAATATCTGATACCAACTGGACAATTGCTTACTGACTCCCTACATCACTGTATGCAATCTAGATGTCAAGATATACATACATTCCCTTAATCTGTCTTGTCAAATAGGACATTGACTGATAACAGGATGGATGGTCCTGATCATTAGCTGACTTAGTGATGTTGCAACCCCCTACCTCCATGGGCTTTTTCTGATTGAACTCTGGATAAAATGCCTTTGAAGTACATACTTCACATAGTATGAAGTATATACTTCATGAAATACAAACTTCAAAAAGTGTATGTTCCTTTAAGAACTAACCACTCCCTAATCCCAACATGAAACATCTAATTTATATATTTGGCATACATTTCATTTTAATTTTTCCTATATAAACTTCAACTGCACCCTTTTAGGTTGAAGTTTCCCAAGAAATCTTGCCCACTATTTAAAGTTAAAATAAACCTCTTGCCACTTGACAAAGATTGCTTGAGTCTGTGAATTCTTTCCAGAGAATTCCACCCTGTACCTGTGTCCCTAAAACCACATCAGTAGGAGACCAAGGCAGTGGGAGCTAAACCTTGATTTGTATATTTCTGGCTAGATAAATAATAAAACAGTTTAGAATAGCAACAGTGGCGAGGTACAACAGCAACTGCGAGGCAAGGTTGTCTAGTGACAAAACATCCATTCATAGCAGGGCTTCATGTCTGGGCCTATTGGTGCTTGCCTGAACTCAGGGACCTGAATCAGTTCTGTGATTTAGCTGCAGCAAAGTTCATCCAAAGGCCAAAGGATTGTTGTTATGCCAAGCTCAAGGCACAGCTTGCTTGCTGAGCCTTAGGTCTGGAAAACAGGGTGTCTAAAAAGAAAGAGGTGGTCTTGGATCCTGGCAGGCATGACCTAAATAACATCAGTTACGAATATGAAGTGAAAGTGGTGAATAGATTTAAGGGATTACATCAGGTAGGTTGAGTGCCTAAAGAGCTATGGACAGAGGTCCAAAATATTGTACAGGAGGCAGCCTCAAAGAACATCTCAAAGAAAAGAAGAACATGAAAACAAAATGACTCTCTGATGAGGCTTTACAGATAGCTGAGGAAAGAAGGAAAGGGAAAGGAGAAAGATAAGGACATACCCAACTGAATAAAGAATTCCAGAGAATAGCAAGGAGAGATAAGGTTTTCTTAAATGAGTAATATAAAGACTTATGGGGAAAAAGCAATAAAATGAAAAAGGAAAAAGATCTCTTCAAGAAAATTAGAGATGTCATGGGAACATTTCATGCAAAAGTGGACATGATGAAAGGCAAAAATGGTAGGGACTTAATGGAAGTATAACAGATTAAGAAGAGGTGGCAAGAATATACAGAACTACACAAGAAAGATCTCAACATCACTGACAACCATGGTGTTGTGGTTACTGATCTAGAGCCAGATATCCTAGAGAATTAAGTCAAGTGGCCATTAGGAAGAACTGCTAACAATAAGAGTAGTGGAGGTGGCAGAATTCCAGCTGGGCTATTTAAAAATCTAAAAATGATGATGTTAAAGTGCTGCACTTAACATTCCAGCAAATTTGGAAAACTCAACAATGGCCACTAGATTGGAAAAGATTGGTTTAGGGGCCAGCTAGGTGGCTCAGTGGATAGAGCTCCAGCCTTGGAGTCAGGAGGACCTGAGTTCAAATGTGGCCTCAGACCAAACACTTGACACTTACTAGCTGTGTGACTATAGGCAAGTCACTTAACCCCAATTGCCTCACCAAAAAGCAAAAAAAAAAATGCCAAAGAATTTTCAAATTACCAAATAATTGTACTCATTTCATACACCAGCAAAGTTATGCTTAAGATTCTTCAAGCTAGACTTCAGCAATATGTGAATCGAGAATTAACAGAAATGTAGGCTGGTTGTCAAAGAAGCAGAGGAACCAGAGACCAAATTGACAACATTTGCAGGATTATGGAGAAAGTGAGTCGCAGAAAAACATCCACTTCTGTTTTACTGTCTACACTATAGCCTTTGTATGCATAGCAACAAACTGTGGCAATTCATCGAAGAAATGGAAGTAGCAGATCTTCTTACTTATCTCCTGAGGAACCTGTATATGGGCCAAGAAGCAACAGTTAGAACTGAACATGCAGTAACCTATTGGTTTAAGATTGGAAAAGGTGTACAACAAGGCTGTATATTGTCACCTTATTTAACTTATATGCTGAGTACACCATACCAGATGCCAGGCTGGATGAATCAAAAGCCAGAATTAAGATTTCCACTATTAATGCTGCCAGGTGAAAAGGCTTGCAGCTTTTTAAGTGGATGAACTCTTGACCTGATGAAGGGACCTTGAGTCATTTTGCTTCTGATGCCTTAGTTAACATTAGATTCTGTCATCAGTTTGTGTTCCCTATGAGGAAATTCCCCCACCACAATTTCATCCAAGTTTGGTATTTACAAGGTCCTTCCCACCACCACTACCACCCCTTCTGAGAACTTTTCCTTCACATCTAGGCCTGATTAGGAATGCCTCTTCCTATAATTGGAGCCAGTAATCTGTGTTCAATCAAACCTATTCTTAGGGTATATTATTTTGCTGACTGGAACCCACCTTTGAATGTGTTCTCTCCCCAACACATCCCCCTTACCCTCAGGCTGGGGTGAATTTCTTGCATGGAAGGACAAACTTCCATCTATTTATATTACTGGAGTATGTGTATACGCTCTTGTTTTGCTCACTTGCTGCACTGAATAACAAGTCTTGTTTGTATCATCTTCCTGTGTACCAATTTTCTAGAAATTCTCAAACTGAGGTATTTGTTTTAAACCCAAGCTATAAGGCAAAAAGAAAGCAATCCATCATTACTTTTAGAACTAACATAAAGCTACTATCTGGATAGGTAAATATATTAGAAGGCTAGTTTATCTTCTTACTTATCAAGTAACCCGTCATCACCATTGTCATCTACAGAGATTCTCCTTTTGTAGGTTTTGAAGCCCAAGATCAGAGAGATAAAGCCATGTGAGCACTGAAAGGAGGGCAGGGATGGCAGTCCAGGGTTCTTCCACAGCAGACCAGTTTCCATGGAAGATATTAACTTGCTTTCTGGGATTTTTGTATTGATCTAAGTAATTTTTTATGAGGTGCTTATTGAATTACTATTACAGAGGCAAAAGACTGAAGATATTAACTTGCTTTCTGGGATTTTTGTATTGATCTAAGTAATTTTTTATGAGGTGCTTATTGAATTACTATTACAGAGGCAAAAGACTGAGGAGCTGTCAGACACAGAAGAACCTGCTCAATCTCTTCCTAGACTACTCCTTGTAAGGATATTGAGCCAAAGTGTTCTAGAGATAGCTCTGGTTTTGAGAGCTGATTGAGTATTTGTATTATGATTCTACAATTGCTAAAATTCCAGGGGGTTTTTTTGGCTTTTTTTTTCTTTTGGCTTTTTTGGTGAGGCAATTGGGTTAAGTGACTTGCCCAGGGTCACACAGTGTCAAGTGTCTGAGGTTGGATTTGAACTCAGGTCCTCCTGACTCCAAAGCTGCAGGTCTATCCACCAAGCCACCTAGCTTCCCCCTTTTGGCTTGTTTTGTTGATTGTCCAGACTTTGGAAACATATGGAGAAAATGTTTATATACCAGAACACCTCAGACTGAAAGGGCATCCTACCAATTAACACTACTGCAATCTTTTCCAAATAGAGTAGGGTGCTTAGCCCAAAGGCTTCAGGAAATGGAAGACAAGGAGCTTAGCACAAAAATTAGCTGCACTCTATTAGTTTTGGTTTCTTCCCTTGATCCTTTACCTTGAATAAAGCCTTTTTTTGTACTCTGCCAAACCCAACAGGGACAGAGTTTTTAGGCTAGATAAATTTTGCTTAGTATTTCTAGAGAAACTGAAAAAGGAGGTTTCAAATTATGTTTTTATAGTATCAATTAAGATATGTTGTATGGCATATGGTAATAAGATGTTGCCTTAAACTTTGTTTCTGTCAAAGCATTTTTTTTAGTCTTCCTATCTCACAGATTTGCTATAAGGAAAGTGAAAGTGATAGTGCTTGAAAAACTCTTAAGTGCTATAAACATAAGTACAATTAGATTAGTCTAGCCTCATTTCCCCCCCACCCCCATAACCAAGAAGGCACAGGATAAGGTTTTGCAATAGAGTCCAAAAAATAGTTAATCAAAATACAGTAGACTACCCTCTACAATCCAAATATTTATTAAATATATATCATAATAGGCTTTACGGGGGGGGGGGTGTATATGTATATGTGGTTTATGGTCACATAGTTAGTGGGTAGGTGGATTTCAACAACAGATTCACTCCAGGTCTAACTTTTTCCCCATTGATGGGGATCTTGGTAGAAATATCAAAGATTGGGGGAGGAAGGGAAGGGAGGAAACAGGCCTTAACAGATAATTTTCCAAAGCAGATCACATTACAAACATAGCTAAGAAGTGTAGACAACGAAAGACACTACTGCATTTACAATTTCATAGCAAAAACAAAATAAAATTAACATGTGCCTAGGAAAAGAGATCAAAACTGTTTCCAATGCTCCCTTTCAACTAGGCTCCTCTCGTGCACGTGGTAAGATTATATAGTTCCAGAATCATCCTGAAACGTCTCAGTTCAGTGAGGCCAGGCATGTCTGTACCTGATGCCATTCTACTGGGACTCAAGGAGATCAGCAGGTAAGATGTTCCTTTCTATAGGCAAACAATAACAGACAAAGATGGGTGGCACTTGTTTCTCTTCAGAAATTGTATCCATGTCTAATGGTATAATAGATAATTCTCTTCCACTCATGTAGTGGATACTTCCAGAAGTGTAAACAACATAAGTCTGTCCTGAGGAGATATTAGCAAATGTGAAAGTCCTCTTCCTATCATCAGATAATTCATATGGATAGTGACATGCCAGAAGTCGAGACCCTGCGAAGAGAACAAATGCATCAATAAATATCAAGCGCTTTCTATATATCTAAGCAATGAGGATACAATTAAGGAAAAGAAAAACAACCCCTTGCCCTCAAGGAGATTACAGTCTTCTGAGGGAAAGACACATAAAAGAACATTGAAAGTTGAAAGATGAGTTGGGGGTAGGTTGGGAAAGTGCCCATCAAAGGTGCATTGTGGAGAAATCAAAGAAGTCCAAAATGAGTGTAGGTAGGAAGTAGATATCAACCCTGTGGATAGTACTCCAGTGCTATGAGTGGCAGGGAGAGGCGATTTGGCCTCTATTGTCCTGGTCTACAGGACCAGGGAAATGTATGATGTAGAGAGCAAGAGCAATTAGAAAAGAACATTCTCCAGGTAGGAAAGTCAGGTGACCCTGACTTTCAGGTAATCCTTTGAAAGGTTTTCCTTTTATTTTAATTCACTCCAATACTCATCTGCCAAGGCTATACAGTTCTATCTTTACTGCCAAAAGATCTTTCTGTGCTTTTAATGCTTGGATTTCCCAAGCATTTCTGGAATACATAGAAATAGATAGATATTCTACTTTCGGCCAAACACTGGTTTAAAAAAACCAAAATTCTACCAGGCAAATAAGAAAAGGGCTTTATCTAGATATGGCAGAGTAGTCTCAGTTTCTTAATCTCCTTTGTCTACTATTCAACTGTGATTCCCATTCCTCTAAACACATACAACCCACTCCACCCCCCCAAACTTCACAGATCTGTCCTTTTACAAAGCATCGCCATAAGAAAAAAAAAAGCAAGAAAAGTGTACATTTGCCTCTTCGTTAATTGGAACCATAATTCTTTAAAGCACTTAAAGGGTTGTCCTTTCATACCTGGGGTCCTATTTTTTTTTTTTAATGAAAAACCTTCCCAAATTTGGGGTTGTTTTTTCCCCTTTGTCCAAAAGGAATTTCTATAACCAGACATCACAGAAAGGGGAGCCATTTGTTGAGCTGTGATAAAAAGGCCAGACCTAAAGTGCTAGATATTGATTTCCTTTCCAAAAGTCATCTTAGAATATTAAAGCTAGAACAGACCTTGAAGTTCTAATCTGTCCTCAGATACTTGTCAGCTGTGTGATTCTGTGCAAATCACTTAAATCTTGCCTACCTCACTTTCATCTGTAAAATGGGGATAATAGTACTTATTTCACAGGGTTGTTATAAAAATCAAATGAGATATTTGTAAAGTGTTTTGCACAGTGCCTGACATACAGTAGGCACTTGAAAATGCTTTCCGCTTCCCTTTCCTTCTCTACTTCTACCTTCAGCTTACTGAGGAAGTAGATCTCTGGCTTCCAAGTCAAACTACACTATTACCACTACGCTGACAACTCATCTAGAGGCCTCACCCACCCAGGGTACAATAGATTAAGCTTGGTAAAACTTTTTCCCCTCCCTACTTCTCACCAATTTCTTCTTCTTACTTTAGAAATTGGATCCCACTCATACTTCATCTGGGTCATGAAGGCTCTTCTAGCTTACCTACTCCAAACGATGTTATTAATGTAATTGCTTGTCGTTTTAGACCAGACTGTGGTTCCATAGAGTAGGTTGTGCCTTCTGGTAAAGGCAACACATGCGGATTGGCAACTATTCTGTCACTTATATCCTGGTGCATATGGCAATATATTTCTGACAACCAAGAGATCCGAAAAGGTACATTTTTTTAACCCTTCTGAAAGAAGCCCAAACCTAGATTCACAGCCAAAGAGCTGGATCTCACCTCGAAATTTCTTGAGGAATTTGTTTAAACTCATGCAATAAGAATTGCTCAGTTTTGGGGTGAAAGGTTCTGGCCTTTGTAGCAGCAGTGACTCAATCCTATAGAGAAGAGACTTAGTTATCATTCTTGTACACCAGCTTTTGCATCCTCTTTGGCACCAAGGGCTTCCTCACCTCGTTTTATTATTTTGCTTTCTCCTAACCCCTGTACTCCATCCCAAACTACTCACTTACCTTTCTTCAGAAAGTCAGCATACCTGCTCAAAATGTCTCCTATGTCCTAGGAGAGAAAAGGAGAAAAGATTATAAGTTGGTAGATCATGTGAATTGATTCAACAAAGACTTAGCTACTCTATGGCTATAGGGGTGGATGAAAAAGAGTAAAGGGTGACTCAGAGGTTAGAGATCTGGATGACTAAGTAGAGAGACAGGTCCACATAGGTAAACTGAAGGGACAATAAAATAACTTTTGTTATAGATTTGCCATTTAGGCAATGTTTTACTACTTTCTGTAGAACCCAATACACCTGTGCCATCACAGTAGGCATTTTTCTTTCTTTTTAATTTTCAGTTCAACAATCACTTCCATAAGCTTTTGAGTTTTAAATTCTCCTCCTTCCTCCCCAAGATGATGGGAAATCTGATTTAAGGTTCTACACTGACATTCCTTTAAACATATTTTCATATAAAGAAGAATAACCAATAGGAGGAACCACAAGAAAGAAGAAACAAAACATAACAGAAGTGGGAAAAAAAAAGCACAAATAGTTCTTTCTATGGATGTGGATAGCATTTTCCACCATGAGACTTTTGGAGAGGTCTTAGATCCTTGCATTACTGAGAAGGGCTAAGTCTATCAACTTTAGTCATCGCACAACTTTGTTGTTATTTTGTACAACTGTTCTCCTGGTTCTGCTCACTTTACTCAGCATCAGTCCATATAAGTCTTTGCAGGTTTTTCTGAAGTCTACATGCTCATCATTTCTTAGGGCACAAGAGTATTCCATTACTTCATATACCACAACTTGTTAAGCCATTCTGCAATTGATGGGCATCCTCTCAATTTCTATTTCTTTGCCACCACAAAAAGAGCTATAAATATATTTATACATGTGGGTCCTTTTCCTATTTGTATGATCTCATTGGGATACAGACCTAGGAGTGGTATTTCTGGGTCAAAGGGTATGCACTTTTTTTTATAGCCGTTTGGGTATAGTTCCAAATTGCTCTCCAAAATGGTGGATCATTTCATAACTCCAACAACACATTGGTGTTCCAATTTTCCCCATATCTTCTCCAACATTTATCATTTTCCTGTTTTGTTATGTTAGCCAATCCGATAGGTGTGATGTGGTACCTCAGAGTTGTTTTGATTTGCATTTCTTCAATCAATAGTAATTTAGGGTATTTTTTCCATACTACTATACATAGCTTTAGTTTCTTCCTCTGAAAACTACCTGTTCTTATCCTTTGACCATTTATCAACTGGGGAATGACTTGTTTTCTTATAAATTTGACTTAGTTCTCTACATATTTCAGAAATGAGACCCTTATAAGAGACGCTGGTTGTAAAAATTCTTTCCCAGTTTTCTGCTTCCCTTCTAATCTTGGTTGCATTGGCTTTGTGCAAAAACTTTTCAATTTAATGTAATCAAAATTATCCATTTTGTATTTCATGATATTCTCTTGTCATAAATTCTTCTCTTCTCCATAAGTCTGACAGGTAAACTATTCCTTGCTCTCCCAGTTTGCTTATAGTATTAGCCTTTATATCTCTAAGTTGGGTACCCATTTTTTTTTTTTTACTATTTCACTATATGGTGAAAGATTTTGGTCTATGCCTAGTTTCTGCCATGCTCTTTTCTAGTTTTCCTAGCAGTTTGTCAAATAGCTAGCTCTTAATCCCAGAAGCTGGGGTCTTTGGGTTTATCAAACCATATATATTACTACAGTTATTGACTACTGTGTCTTCCATACCTAATCTATTCTACCCATCCACCACTTTATCTCTTAGCCCAGTACCAAGCAATTTTGATGACTGCTGTTTTATAACACAATTTAAGATCTGGAACAGCTAGGCCACCTTCCCTAGTATTTCCTTTGGTTAGTTCTTTTGCTATTCTGAACCTTTTGTTATTCCAAATCAATCTTATTTTTTCTAGCTTTATAAAATATTTTGGTAGTTTGGTATGGCACTGAATAAGCAAATTAACTTAGGTAGAAATGCCATTTTTATTATATTAGCTCAGCCTATCCATGAGCAAGTGATGTTTTTTCCATTTAGATCTGACTGTGTGTAAAAGTGTTTTGTAATAGTCTCCATAAAGTTTCCTGGGTTTGTTTCAGCAGGTAGACCTCTAAATATTTTATGTCTACAGTAACTTTAAATGGAATTTTTCTTTCTATCTCTTGCTGCTGGGCTTTGTTGGTAATGATTTATGTGGGTTTATTTTATAACTTGTAACTTTGCTAATGTTGATTATTTCAAATACTTTTTTACTTTATTTTCTAGGATTCTCTAAAAATGCATCATATCATCTGCAAAGAGTGATAGCTTTGTTTCTTTACCTATTCTAATACCTTCAATTTTTTTCTTTTCTTATTGCTAAAGCTAATGTTTCTAGTACCATATTGAACAGTGATGGTAATGGACATCCTTTTTTCAACCCCCAATCTTATTGGAAATTTTTCTAGCTTATCCCCATTACATATAATGCTTGCTGAAGTTTTTGGGTAGATGTTATCTACCATTTTAAGGAAGACTCCATTTATGCCTATACTCTGTAGTGTTTAATAGCAGTGGGTGCTGTATCAAGCCTTTTCTGCTTCTATTGAAATCATATGATTTGTTAGTTTTGTTATGATCAATTATGCTGATAGTTTTCCTAATATTGAAACAGCCCTGCATTCCTGGTATAAATCTTACCTGGTTGTAGTGATTATATGTTATTTAAAATTTTTACATCTATATGCTTTAGGGAAATTGGTCTATAATTTTCTGTTTTGACTCTTCCTGGCTTAGGATTCAGCACCACATTTGTATCACAAAAAGAATTTGGTGGGACTCCACCTATTTTCCCCAAATAGTCTATGTAGTATTGGAATCAATTGTTCTTTAAGTGTTTTATGGAATTTACTTGTAAATTCATCTGGCCCTGGAGATTTTTTCCTAGGGAGATCATTGCTGGCTTGTTCAATTTCTTTTTCTAAAATGGGTTATTTAAATATTTTATTTCTTCTGTTAATCAGGAAAATTTATATTTTTGTAAATATTCATCCATTTCACTAAGATTTATTAAATTTTTTGGCATACAGTTGGGCAAAATAGTTTCCAATTATTGTTTTAATTTCTTCTTCATTGATGATAAATTCACCCTTTTATTTTGATGCTGGTAATTTGGTTTTCTTTCTTTTTAATTAAATTAACCAAAGATTTGTCTATTGTATTGTTTTTACCCCATAAAATCAGCTCTTAGTTTTATTTAGTAGACATTTCTTACCTGCAGCAGGTCCCCATCTGACATCTGAGACTTTTCTTCCAATGCTGTCACCATCTCCCTTAGGTCTTTGCTATGTCGGGACATTTGGAACCTGCTCCTATTCTTTTTCTGGAAGTTTTTTATTTCTTCCTGGGCTTCATGATCCTTCAGTTTCTCGAACATCTCACTTTCCTCCTCATCCAGCTCCACAAGACTATGTACATCCTCTTCTTCATCACTCAGAAATTCACTTATTTCCTGAAATTTTTCCTCAAGTACTTCTCTTGACATATCCACTTGTTCCTACAGTGGGACATGCTTATCAGATGTTAGTTTTTTATATAGGACAACAAATGGCTCTGGTCAAACCTCGCCTTGACTGCCTGGTTTGTGTGACATTTACTGGAAATAAACACTATACCAAGGAAAATTTAGGAAACATGGATTTGAGTCCATATTCTGTGCCATATAACTGGTAAACTTGAGAATGTCTGTCAACATTTCTGGATTTAGATTTTCACCTGTAAAATGCTAGGAAGGCTAGGAGATACTTAAGAATGAAATTCTGGAGGTGTGGAGAAAATAATTCAAGTGAGGAGGAAAAGGGGGAATTGTCTGGGGTAGAGAATAATGTAGCTGCTCCAAAATTTCACCATCCAACTTAGATTTAAGGGGCAGGGGGGAAAATGTGTATAAAAGATACAAGCAAGGCCATAGAGGAGGGCCTTTGATTGGGGTGGACAACAAGATCGTAAGCAATAACAAAAAAAGGCATAACTTGTTTCTTATTTTACTTCTGTTTTCTCTATCAAGGAAAATTATGCTGGAAATAGAATATGGCTGATAGGTTGGCTGAAAATAGAATATGGCTGATAGGTTGGCTAACACTAAAGATAAGTAAGAAGATATTTGAAGAACATATAGTTGAAGAACGCTGAAGAATAAATAGTCTGCAACTTATAGGCCAGTGAGATTGATTCCAATTTGAGAAAAATTCTAGAAAGGATTCTTAAAAGGATGCTTGATGTGGAAAACAATCTAGCAAACACTGGGTTTAGATCAACATTTAAACCATATACCAAAGATATACTAGATGACAAACATAAGATATCATAAATAAATCAGAGAAGCAGAAAAGAAACTACCTTTCAGATTTATGGCTAGAGGAAAATTTCATGACTAAGCAAGGAATACAAATGATCACAGAAGATAGTAGGCAATTTTGAATGCATGAAATTAAATTAGAAAGGAAATAGGAAACTAGGGGAAGAGTAGCAAGTTTCTTTTGATAAAGTCTCATTTTCAAGATATAAGAACTTGATTCAAGTTTATAAGAATGAGTCATTCCCCAATGAGTAAATGGGGAAAGGATAAGAACAGGTAGTTCTCAAGGAAAGTAATCTATAGGCACAAGGGGGAAAAAGTGTTCTAAACCACCTATAACTAGAGACATGCAAATTAAGGCAACTCTGAGGGCTCACTTCATACCCCCAACAGATGTTGGGGAGACTTTGGGGAAAACAGGCACCTTAATGGTTCATTGGTAGAGTTTTAAATACTTGCAGCTATTCTGTAAAATACTTTGGAATTATATCCCTCAAAAGACTGATAAATTTTTCATATACCATTTGGTGTAGCAACACCACTATTAAGGCCTATACCCCTAAGAGATCAAAGTATAAAATTAATCCTATGTGTACAAAATATTTCTTAGCTTTTTTTTTGTAGAAGAAAAGAACTGGAAACTAAAAGCGGTAAGGTTAATCAGAGAATGACTGACCAATTATGGCATAGGAATGTAATGGATATTACCTCCTAAAAATATCAAAGCAATGGTTTGAAAGCAACCTTAGGAGACTTTGAACAGATGAATAAAAAGTGAGCAGAACCATAACAATGTATACAATTATATCATATAATGATACAATAATATAACTTGGAAAGACTTTAACTGGTCAACACAATGATCAATCATGAGTTCAGAAGATTAACAATAAAAGATGTCATCTACCTCTTGACAGGGAGGAGACTGATTAAATATGCAGAATGAGTGTTTTACGTACAGGGACAATTTTGGCACTTGCTTGGGTTAACCATTCATGTTCAAAATGAGTATTTTGTTTTATCTTTTTCTCCTGGAGGCAAGGAGAGATAGAGGTAGGAGGGCAGCCTTTTACTGGCAATGTCTCTACTCCTACAGTCACCTCAGATTGTGATTTGACAACTTCTGAGAACTTATCAGTCATGCTCAATTCAACTTCCATCAACCTATTCAGTACCCTTTAGCGTCATCTTCTACCATTAGATTATAAGCTCCTTGGAGGAGCAGGACTTTGTTTTGTTTGTCTTTGTATCCCTAGTACTTTGCACAATGCAAGTCATTAGCAAATGTTTATCCCATCTTAAAATTACAGATGAAAAGATGGTAGATGAACAGCTAGAAAGGGAATTGGTGATTTTGCCTTTGCAACATCTCTGGAATATGCCCCTTTCTCAATGACACTGCCACTACCCTCGTGCAGGCTTGGATTAATATTGCAATAGCCTCCTGATAGGTCTGTCTGCCTCAGTCATCTCCCCACTACAGTCTATCCTCCATTCAGCTACCAAAATGATTTTTCCCCCAAGTCAAAGGTCTGAACTTGTCATCGCCTTACCCAATTCTACTGGCTATCACTAACAATATCAAATACACAATCTTCTTTGTCATTCAAATATGCCATGCATGTCTTACATCATATTCCCTGTCCTATTATCTTTGATAGATTGTGAAACAGCAAGGGGGCCAGTGTCAAACAGGATACTCCATCCCTCCATTTCAAGTATTTTCTTTGGCTGGCCTCTATGCCTGGAATGCTCTCATTCTTCATCTCTGCCTCCTGAATTCTCTGGTTTCTTTCCAATCTAAATTAAAATTCACATCTTGTAAGGGAAGCCTTTCCTAATTTTTCTTCTCTCTTTTTATTATTTCCTATTTGTCCTATGCATAAGTTGTTTATACATACTTTTAATTTGTTGTCTCTTTCCATTGGATTATGAATTCCTTGAGGATAGGACCCATCTTTTGCTTTTTTTTTTTTTGCATACCCAGTTCTTAGCATAGTGTCTAACACAGAGTAAGAGCTCAATAAATCCTTGACTGACTGATCAAAAAGAAAACAGGAACAAGGCATGGCAGACTAGCCTAATGTCCTATTTGATATTGTTTCCAAATTGGTATATAAGGATAATGTGGGGGGGGGGAAGTACTTAGATTTTAGTAGAGCATTTGATCAAGTATTTCCTATTATTCTTGTGGAAAAGATGAAGAGATATGAACTAAGTGAAGTTGGAATTAGATAGAATCCTGCTAATAAACTACTTCTGAATCCAAGAGTAGTTGATGTTTTACTGTTAGCTTGGCTGAAGGCTCCTGATTGAGCACCCAGAGATCTGTCTATGCTTGGGCCTGGGTTAGTCACCTGGATAAAGTTATATGTGCTATATACACACACACACACACACACACACATATATATGTATATATGTGTGCATATATATATATGCTCCTCAGTTTGCAGGTGAAACAGTGCTGTAGGGAGAGATAACATAATGGATGAAGAGTCAAAAACCACAAAGATCTTGGTAGCCAGAATTTGATAAGATAAAATTTACATGAAAAAAATAAGGTACTATAGTTGGCTACAAAAGAATCAGCTTCCTAAGTTAGGACCCAGAGAGGGATGATTAGACAGGACTTTAGTGGATGGCAAGATCCAAGTTAGCAGTGTGATGCAACAGACAAAGAACAAAGATATAATGAAATACTGGGCTACCTCAAAAGAAACAAAGCTTCCAGGAACAGGGGTATTATAGTCTCTATCCTCCTCACATGTCTTCTAGAGCATCTTGTTTAGTTCTATGTCACTGATAAGCTGCAGGGCATCCAGAGAAGACATTCAGGATGTTGTAGGTCCAAGTCCAACTCGAGAGTACTGGCTAAAGGAACAGGGGATGATTAACCAGAAGAACAGAAGACAGTGTTATTAGTGTTCAAATGTGAAGGAACATACAACTGGAAAAAAATGAAATATAATTGAGGGGGGGGAACAAATGTGAAGGACTATCACAGGGAAGAAAAATTAGAGTTGTTTTGTCTGACACTGTGGGCAGAACCATGAGCAAGGGGCAGAAGTTGCAAAGAGGACACTTCAGGCTTCATGTCAGGCAAAATATCCGAGTGTAATAGGCTGCCTTGAAAGATGGAAGGTTTCCTTTCTTGGGGGTCTTCAAGAAGAGATTAGATGACCCCTTGTCCAAGTTATGCTATGATTAGAATCCCTTTCATTTAGGGGCACCTAGATGGCACAATGGATAGAGCACTGGCCCTGGAGTCAGGAGGGTCCGAGTTCAAAACCAGCCTCAGACAACACCTACTAGCTGTGTGACCCTAGACAAGTCACTTAACCCCATTGCCTACCCCCCAAAAAAAGAAAAAAAAAGATTCCTTTCATTTATAGATTGGACAAAGTGAATACCAAGGTCCTTCAACACTCTCATATTCTGGGATTCCAACTTTAGCACCCTGCTAAAGTTTCACCCCCACCTTGCTGTACTTTCAAAAGTAGAAAGGTCTAAGGCACAAAAACCCAGTGTGGTGGCCAGGAAGGACAATGTACACAAAGCCTAGCTTGGCTTTCAGAGATAGCTAAACACACAACAGAGGATTTGAAGTCATTTAAGACCTGGGTTTGAATCCAGTTTTCTATAGTCAACTACCTGGAAGAGTGTAGAAAATTAAGTTGGCCCTTTTGTGCCTCAGTTTCCTCATCTGTCTTATGGGGTGTAGAGATAAGGGAATCAGCAAACCTATTGCTGAAGACAGAGCCAGAAATACTTACTGTCCACACTACAGCCCAGGTCCGAGGTACCATCTTCTCCTCAAGTATTAGCTTCTTGACATCTTTCAAGTTCTCATCTAAACATTTCAGATTATCTTGTAGTCTTTTCTATAAGAGAAACATGAGTGCAATTTACTCTATTAGGAAGGTTCAGAACCCTAGTAAAGGTTAAGAGCTCAGATATCCAGAAGGCCTAGAAAGCTATCACCATTTGATTTAGAGAAGCTTCCAGTTCTCAGCTGGGATAGAGACTAACATGGAACAGTTAAAATGGTGGTAGGGAAGCTCCATCAAGTCACGAAGGTCCCTGGAAAAGAGCCTTTGCCCCATGTTACTTACCCTGTAGTCCTCAGCAGCCTCTTCTAAAGGACAGATTTTATGAGCTTCATGCTCCTGGGATTTTGAACAGGATGTACAGAGAAAGATCTGGTCATTCATACAGAAGAGCTTCTGGTCCTCCTGATGTCTTTCACACTTTCTGAGTTCTTCAGGATGCTGCTGATGTTGCTCAACAGCAACAGACATTTTGCTTTTCCTTGAAGTACTTTTCAAGACTTGTAACTGGAGTACTTCCAAGCATTTAGAGCAAGGTAAAGGCATGGACACCTCAGTTCCACTGCTAACACAGGACTGGCAAAAACTGTGTCCACAGGCTTTACTTGCCAGGTCTGGGAGGCAGACCTAACAAATGGTGTAGGTGAGCAGATCCTGAGGATCTGGAACCATTTCTTTTGAAGCCATGAGCCTGAATGAGAAAGTGAGAAAATGGGTGGTAGAGACCTTTCTCTGGCCTCCTGCCCATCCCCCTCCCCCTCAAACAGGAACTAAGCATAAAGCTATTTCTCCCTCCTAATCCCATAGGGAAGAAAGATGCATATCAGGGACAACCTTCGCAATCATTTTGGATTAGTAATCAAGAACAAAGAATCTGACAGTCCCAGGAGTATCTTATCCTAAGAAATTGTGTTGAAGAAGATGCTTAAAGAGGAAGTCATTTTTTATTGGAAGACCTAACATAACTATAGCACATCAAAATTCAATCTTATTCAACAAACATTATCCTAGTTGACCCTTATCCAGATTCTCATTTCAGCACAACTGCAAGCTATGCAAAGCTTTTGGACGATTTGTGATTTTTTTTTCCCCATTTGGAGGAAGGAAAACCTATTGTCTCCAGCACGAACTGCCTAGAAATACCTAGATAGAAGCCCCACAGCTTTCTCTAACTTAACATATTCAAAAGGGAACTCATATCATCTAATCCCAAATCAACCTTCATCCTAACTTCCATTTCCATGGCAGGCACCAGAATCCTTCCCCTAACCCAACAGTCATTCTATTAACAGGCATTTATTAAGCACCTACCATGTGCTAGAAACTCTATGATCTAGAAAGCTCTCCCAAGGAGCCAATACTCTATAGGGGAAATGATATAAATACCAAATGCACACAAAGAAATTAGAAGTGGGGGTTAGAGTAGCTCGATAGATCTGCAAAGGCTTCATGTAGGAGCTTTGAAGGAGTAAGGACTTTTCCTGAGAGGAAGACATAAAGAGAGAATGTCTTCTGACATGGGAGAAAGCCTGTACAAAGGTTGGAGATATGTCACATGTGAGGGAGAGCAAAAATACCAGTTTGGTTCAGCTCTGCAATGCAGATAGCAGAATAAGTTAAGAAACCTAAACAGATTCACAGTCTCACCATCATTATTTCCTCATTTTCTTATATGTGTAATTAATTATCAGATCTTCTCAACTATCTCTACATCTCCTTTGTCTGCTTGGACCATGGGGTAGCCTCCTCCTTGGTCTTTCTGACTCTATTCTTTGATATTTTTTTTTGGACTCCTGGAAACAACTCAACCATTCAGTTCATTCAAGATACTGATTAAAATCTCAAAGAATCCTATTTTCCCCTTGAAACAAGAGTTAAATTAAGCGCCTCAGGAAACAAGCACCACACTCTGCCTTACAGGTCAGTCATTTCCACATGGAGACCAGGTGTTCAGAGTGTACCTGTACCATATTTTTTTTGCATATCCTTTTGTTGAATGACTTGCCAGTACTTCATTTTGTCCCAACATCGATCTTGAACTAACAGGGTGCCAGCCTGAGTCAGGCCCACTCTTCAGTGGACAAAGAGAAATCAAACAGAAGCTGGAGACTCCCACAATCAATTTGTTATGGAAATACATAAATTCTTCAGGAAAATAATCGGGCATAGACATAAGGGCTTAAGAGGGAGGTTAATGCCAAAGAGGGAATAATCACAGATACATCTGGGTTACATTACGTGTATTTTCAACGACAAGGACCAGTGGTGCTACAACTACTAGGCCTTTGGTCAATATACTGATATACACTCGGATCCCTTTTCAGCCCCAAGGATTCAAGTCCACCTGCCTGAGAGACTAGGCACCTCCCAGCAGCTGATCAGCGCCCGTTCACTCGACTTAGACCACCTCACTTCTCCAGGGTGAACCCTGGAGCCCACCCACAATAAAAAAGGGCTCCTAGACCCCTCTCCCCATATGCACCATCTCTCCTAAGCCTCATCCACTCCATTTACTCCAGTCCCTAAAGCAGCAGTATAGGGCACCCCTCCATCAAACAGTGAACCCAGCATAAAGCTAGAGCCCCTTCCAGCTACATTCGTGTGTCCTTCAGTTAAGGGGATGAAAAAAAAAAAAAGAACAGTCACAACCCACTTCCCCTCAGACCTGAGGGCACCTCCTGAGCCCCAGGGAGCCCCACTCAGTAGTATGCTAGTAAATATCTAACAACCACTCTCTGGGGCGGGGGTGGGGTATATGCAAGGTACTTAAGTTTAGTCTACAATATTAACATTTTCTTCATTGCTTTCTTAAATCTAGATAAGCAGTAAAATAGTAAATCAAGTCAAGGCTTGTAAAGTATGTCAAACTGCCAATTTCCCAAGTGTAAATACTCACAATGAAAAAATTGAACCACCTATTTAGAACCTATTTCATTCAGCACACTACTCACGCTGTACCTGCTGACATTGCCCTGGAGATCTCTAGGAGGCTGCTTGCAGTGCCCCCTCCCCTTCTTAAATAGACCCTACGCCAACATTCTTTCTCCTTAGAGTCCCACCTACTGTGCTTAATCAGACTTGGCCCTGAGACAGCTGCATATAGCACTGCCCACTTACCAGCTGAGAGCAATCCTGGAATTTCTTTAGAGAACTGGCAGCAGTATCTGCATCTTTAAATCCACAACAGGACCCTCTTCCCCCCAAATCCCACCTCCATCCTCGCAGGCCAATCACCCATACATTGAGACACTCAGACCTAAAGTAGCTTTATAGAGTACTGATCACCTGATGACCAGCCAAGAGCCCCACAGTCACCCTGATGCCCCACCCACGGCTTGACTGAGACCAGAATTCACTTTTACCATCTACCCTAATGAAATAGACCCCGTTTTTCCTCAAGGTACTTTGTTTGTTTATATGTATTTTGATGGATATCCCATAAAGCTGATTTATCCCATAAAGCTATGTAATAAACTACACAGAACACTGAAGAGGAGGAAAGTCTTGATTGCATTTAGGACATTATTCAGTTCTTTTTAATGATCCCCAAGTTTCTTCCTTAAATAAAGGCCCACCTTTATAAAAGCAATATGCTTCCAGTGAGGCTGGACACCTAGCAATCATGGAAAGCAAAATTCTCTGAAAAATTAACATCTTGTGTTACCCAAAGGGCAAGGGACAGGCCTTGGGCAGAACATTCATAAGCTTCGATACATTTCATTCACTAAGTATTTTTTTGGCTAGGCAATGGAGTTAAGTGAGTTGCCCAGGGTCACACAGCTAGTAAGTGTTATGTGTCTGAGGCTGGATTTGAACTCAGGTACTCTTGAATCCAGGCCCGGTGCTCTATGCACTGCACCACCTAGCTGCCCCACTAAGCGCTTCTTAAGTGTCTGCTATGTATATGTTAGGCACTGTATTAAAAGCTGCAGATACAATGTGTGTACAGGAAAACCATTGCCAAATATAGAACAGTAAATGAAAATAATATGGGGATCAGTGACAACTAAGTGGGAGGATGAGGAAAATCTTTGTGAAAGACTTGAACTAAGACTGAATGAAAGCTTGGTAGTCTAAGAGTCTAAGTATGGAGGAAGTGAATTCCATGCAAGGAAGACAGCCTGCGAAAACCTTTGTGAATGGAAGTCTTTCTGTAATCTCTAGAAAAGTAAGGAAGTTAGAACAAAAAGCAGTTTTGGAGTATAGATAGGAAGTTCAATTTTGGAGATGGTGGATTTGAGTTGCTTGAAGGGCATTCAGATGCAGCTGTCTATAATTGATTATGAAGGCCTAGACCTAAGGAGAGACAGGAGGTTTGGATTTAGAAAGCTGAGATTTGTCCAGATGGAGATGATCATTAAACTCACATGAGGTAATGGTGTTACTAAGAGGTCACCAAGAGAGAAAAGAACAGTACATTACCCTGAGCGACAACCACATTTAGGATTTGTGAGATGGTTGATCATCTAGAAAAGGGAAGTTAAAAGGAGGGTCCAGACAGGAAAAACTAAGAGAAAATAATGTTATATTGTATAAACACTTAGTAATAGTGTTCAATAGAGTCAAATGCTACAGAAAAGATGAACACTGAGAAGAGAGCATTGGATTAACAGACTTGGGGGTTGTTGGTGACCTTGAAAAGCTTCGTTGAGATTTGTGTTGAGATTTGTGTTGAGATTAGTGTTGAGATTAGAAGTCAGATTGAAAAAATGGAAATTTTATTCTGAGGTGAGGTAGTGGAGACAACCAAAGTAAGTAACTTTTTCTAATTTGGATATAAAAAGAAAGAGAGCAAAAGAAGAGAATATATTGATGTGATTGTTGGTGTATAGGCTTTTTAATGAGGGTGGAGGCCTTGACATATTTGTAGGAAAGAGGGAAGGAGCCATTGAAATGGAAAGATTGGAAACTCAAGAGAGTAAGGTTGATTGAAGTGACTGGGAGATGGGAAGAGTTGGAATAGTGGCCGTAATTATAGGAGTTGGCCTTTCTGAATAGCAAAAGTATGACCTCTTCATCAGAAATAGAGCCTGATGACACAATGGAGGATAATGTTGAGGGGGTTTGTGGTTTAAATTAGGAAAATAAGGATATTGATGGGGAATGTCCTTACGTTCTCAGTAAAGAATAGGGTAAAATCCTCTACTCAAAAGGGAGGGGAAAGGTGGGAGTCTTTCAGAATGATGAGAATAGCAGCTAGGGGAGGGTAAGACACAAAGCAAATCAGTAGCATAGAGTTTGATAAACCACAAAACCTCAGTTTTTAGGGAAAAGATTTATTATTGGTCAAAAACCAATAGGAAAACTAGATAGCAGTCTACAGAAATTAGGTTTAGGCCAATGCTTCATCCCAAGAGAAACTCTAAATGGATATATAACTTAGATATAAAATATATCATAAATAAATTAGAGGAATAAAGGGAAAATTGCCTTTTAGATTTATGAATAACTAAAGAAAACATAACTAAGTA